ATCGATGGTGAGGGAAACTACTGAGTGACGAAATTTGGTCTAGGTATCCATGAAGGATTTTCGAATCAGATTCTCAAACCACGGTTTGAGAAACGTTTAGCAAAGGTGTAAGGTATGAAAAAGTTTAAGAAAATACTTTCAAGAAACCATATTATCGAAAAGAACCACCAACAGAAAACTGAATCAGATCATCATCATTAGAAAAAAATCCAGAATTACAACCTAGAAGAAACAAACGAGTGAATTCAGAATACAGAAGGCAAAATTCAAAAAACCTAATTAGATCATCATCCTTTGGTAAACATCAAGGACATGCCAACTTTAACAATTAAGAGAAAGAGGGCAAACAGGCAATTCAAAGTCAAACAATCAGAAAAACTATTGAAAACGAAAGTCTAAGATCATGTTGACGCGCAACCTTCTTCACCCGCAGCAAGCTTCACATGAGATGGCGATGTCCTCCTTCCTCCTTGAAGCGATATCCTCCATGAAGAGTCCTCGAAAAAGCCCTCTGCCTCCCTTTCATCCACCTACCATCACTCGAACCAACCCCCACCACCTTCGGGAGGGAAACGTCAAGCCACCCTCTATATGCCGGCTAGAACAGCTTCAGCTGCCGACCACATAGTCAACGCCAACAATAAAGGTATCAACGGCCATCCACAACTCTACAAGGTACTGGATGGTGAAGTAAAGCCTCGTCGAGCCCGTCGACGAGTTACCCCAGGAGATTCAAGCCCTCACCAAAACCCTGTCTGCCACCTTACGCAGTGTAGACGAAAGGGAGCGGAGGAAACTAAACTACCAGCACTGAACCCTTATGTGCCATCGCCAACGTGGCGCCACCACAACGCATCCTAGGCACCATCGGTCTCTCGTCCTCCGAAAACCCAAAGCCGCTCCCCCACCTCACCTCCCTCCCCCAATATTGTAGCGCGCCGCCACACTGCACCTCCCTCCCGTCGCTGCTGCCGCCTGGCATCACTTGGTCCGTCCGGGTGAAACGGGGCGCAGCGCTCCCGGTCGCGATGCGCCCCCTGACCTCGGAGGTTTGGGCGTACTGATCGTTTCGGAGGAAGAGTTACGGCAGTGGTGTTTCAAAACTGGAATGATACACAACACCATTTCTCACATTTGGCAAGTGGTGCAGCACGGAGCTTAGTGAAGAAAACCAGCAACACACTGCCCACAAAGTTTTCCCTTATTAATTCTGATTGAAAATCGAGACAAAAACGGTCGACCGCCCTACCCACCTAAAAGTGGTGATGCCAAATACACTGTATGATGCGAGATGCGAATCTTTCCCCACGTCAAAAGCCCGGTTCTGTCTAGAAGCCCGCATTGTTCCTGTCAATAACCCAGTTCTGTTTGAACCACGAGTACTTCAGAGCCACTTGTGTGGGACTCCAAATGCCGTGCGCGCCAGAGGGCCTCGTTTTAGTTGGCACCGCCAAACATTTTGCTCTTGAACATGATTTCCACAGTGACCACACGATGCGCATGGCACGTACGTCAATGAGCTACCTGTGTCGACGATAACCGAGAAATTTTATGGAGGAGTGCCGATCTATATCTCCGTAAAGAAATACCCTAAAGTCAACACGCTGCCATAGACACGCATGTGCGCTTCGTCGCGAAGCCATCGCCTGCACTGATTAGGCGCCGAGCATCGCCATAAGGGGTCATTGTCGCCAAAGCGCAGCGGCAAGGTTACAGCGCTGGCCAGCGTCGTCGACTTGTCGACCGCCGGTGCTGCAGCTTCTGCGTGTACTCCCGCCATAAACACCGCCGAATGAAAAAAAAGAAGAAGAAGCACTACAGTCGACAGAACTGAGGCCAGCCCGCTGTGGACAACGGCCATGACCGCAGAGTCTCCCTGGTTGCTTGACGAATAGGGGATGCATGCCTATCTTCCACGTGGAGGTCTGCGCTGGGCCTGCGGGAGGACAACCCCATGAAGACGTCGGCCATTCCCATGCAAAGCGGATCCAGCGGCGCGCGCTTCCTGCGCAAAGAGCAAAGCGCCGCCATCGCGCTCGGCTCAATCGGACAAGGCAATAACGGACAGAGAAGACAACGAAGCCACCACATCGCACGGGTCTATACCATGTCAAATTTTGCAGACATTGCCAATTGGATAGAAGAAGAGCATATGATGCAATATTCCCAAAGGATGAGAGTACTGCTCTTGGCAGGAACATAAAAGTCATGTTTGTGACACTTATGGGAAGACGATCACAACCCCAGCCCGTTCCATAGACATACACGCCAGATATGGACCCAAATATTTGTGCGTACATTATGCTTTCAGTGTTGTTGTCGAGGAAGATATTACCTCATATCATCGAGTGGCAGAATTCCGCTCGGTGTGGCTGGCCAATCAAGAACACTATGTAAATGTGTACTGGCAAGCTCTACAGTCTTTGGAGAACCGACTCAACCTTCCCCCTCTCCTGTATATGGCCATGCAGTCTCCCTTCCTTGTGTAGAGGATGGTGGCTGAACCATGTCATTATGTCTCCATACAACTACAATTCGGTTGGCATGCACACAATATAATCGGATTCTCTACTCCGAACCCTATGAAAGGATGGTGCCTACCAGCCTCGGACACAAAATATGTGACCCATTGTCATGCACCCATCCCCCCCACCCCCTTATTACTTGCCCAATATGTCGTTGTAGCCTTGCTTAAGTAGTTGCGAACCTCATCTAGCTTTCCTGCTCGCATGCCAGCAAGATGGTATGTGCCTATTGCAGACCAAATCTTGCTTAGCCTAGAGCTGAACACCCTTACATCGGATCAGCCCTCATCATCGCCTAAGCATAGAGAGCGAGTAATAATTGCGGCAACCCCTGCCCAATGTCGCTTAGTGGGGGCTAACCTGAGATTTGGCTAGCATGTCATTCACATGTTTTCTATCGTGAGGATTATGAAGGCATAGCCCATATAAGTTTTTGTTCTCATATGTTTGATGATAGTTGGCATTGCACTTGTGTTTGGCACCCTAACATGTCACGTCCTATTTGTAGACACGGGCTGGAACGACAATGGCTATACAATTGCGGTTGGTGTGCCATTGTGTTCCTAGCATGTAGGAGTCACGTAGCCTGTGACATTTGTCTATGCCATGCCATTTGGTGTAGCAGCTGCAACTACAAGAATTCGATCCGGTGCATCCACACTCCACACCCGAACTAGTCCTGTCCGGTTCGCAGGGGTGGCTACTTACTGTAGGCAAAGGACGCTCCTCAGTCAAAATCTCCTACAACCCAAACACTAGTTGGCATCTTGTGCCATCCTAGAGGATTGAGAACCCTATGAAGTTTGTTATCGGTCTATTTTATTCTTTGCCCCTCCATTTCCCTCATGTAGTCATTCTACCTCCCCCACCACTCACTTCCTACAGAACCGTATCTTCTAACCTTTTTGCTTCCTCACTCCCCTTGTGTACCACTAGTAGATGGATAAGAATGAGCATCATTAACAAAACAGACAAGATATAAAAGGAACATCTGAAGAAAAATAAACAGGAGTAGACCTCCGCCTTTACCCTGCCTCCTTTCATAACGTGCAAGTGTGTCGTGGGTAGCTGGCTTGCACGCCTGGCCGCGGCCGGGGGCTCCAAATCGGCCGCGGCCTAGGCCAACGACCGAATCGGCCCGGTTCGGCCTAGGCCGACCAGCCGAGTTTGGTACATTAATTTTTTTCCCCATTTTTCACGTGTAGAAAAAAAAAAAAGAATTGGGCGTGTAGGGCTGAAAAAGCCCTACACGCCCATGTTTGCTTTTTTTAGTGTCGGACCTTCCGCGTGGCGCAAAAAAGAGAGAGAGAGAGAGAGAGAGAGAGAGAGAGAGAGAGAGAGAGAGAGAGAGAGAGAGAGAGAGAGAGAGAGAGAGAGAGAG